GACATGGTTGATACTTGCTTGAGCAACAAGCATAGAAAATAATGACTCCACTTCCCCATGACTTTGCATGGATACAACCAGTATAATTACTTTAACGGGTTGGAAGCACTGTATAACACTTCTTTGTTATTCCTAGTTCATGATTAATATAAGGCTGAAAGTATTTCTTGCAAAAGAGAAATCAGAACAATCAATTGTATTCTAGATTCAGTGCTATATATGATTGGTACATATTGTAAGTACATACCTCGTTCTACATGTCTAGTTCTAGGTATGCTAGATTTTGCAGGTATCTTCGCAATATTCAAACTCCATCTTGCTGTTTATCAGCAGCACTTAGTCAAGATCTGGATTCTTTGGTTGTTATTACTCCCTAGTTCTGTTGAAGAGTCAACTCACTGGTGATTGTATCACTTCTTGTAGTGCCCTTTGTTACTACAGACACTGTAGGTTCCTAAACTTGTGTGGGGTTGGACATTAAGTGAATAGGCAAGCTCTCACTGGATGGCGAAAAAGCTGTTTTTATTCTCACGCTTCTTAACTAAGTGATCTTCGTGAGTGTGCTGACAATCATGCAGCATGGTTACCAAGCATACAATAATATCTTCTGGATGTATAGTTCACCTTCATGAGAAGTTTTATCTTTATAGATAATAATGGAAGTACTTTGTCATAGACAGAAACTGTAATGATTTCTTTCTTTATGATGCAGTAGTGTTATTAAGTTATGCTTAGTTCATGAACAGTTTCACGCATTCCATACCATTCTGCACCTATGACAGCATTGTTCCAATGTTTCTGTTAGCATTAGTGCTTGACTAGAATGCACTTTAAATACAGAAGTTACACTGAACTTGATATGAAATTGGGAAAATACAAACATTCTACTTTATCATAGATTGATGCTAGTCCTTGACAGTCATTTGTTGTAATACCAGTGGACACTATATCTCCTCCTGTGATATGGTCGAGAAATTCCTCTTCAGAGCACATTAATGCCTTCTTAGCTTTAGTGTAAGTCTGTAACGTTGTACACGTTAAAATACAAACCAGAAGTACTTGATTGTCGCCTGAAATATCCAGCATAAGACCAGTATACTAACAATATACAGACGGTTGAGTATGTGATATTAAATCAGCATGTCAAATGACAACGACAGCCGATATAAAGTCAGTCGCGATGAAATGGCATGTATCAGAACTACATTTTAATATTTTTTTGGAATTTTCAAAGGTAGTGTGATGCCACCGAAAGTTGACCACAAACCTCAAGCAACTAAAATAAAATAGGTATTCATGCTATCTTCAACTTTCAGATTGTATATATATATATATACAGCTTGTTAACTTTTACATAACAAACGGAAGTCTTATTTACAACAAATAAAAGGACTATTTTCAGATAGCACCTGTTTATTTACGACAATGACATTAAAAAGAAGAGGTGCAACAGAAGTGTTGTTTTGCACACTTATATTCAATACTATAGCGATAGGCATAAGAGGCCACCAGTTTTTGTATATCTTTTGCAACATTACTTTACAATAAGTGTCGCAGATGTACAACTGATTTAGTGTTAGGTCTTTAGGTTTATGTCATTACCTGTTTCCAATTCTACATCTACCTTTTATTGAGTGAAGCAGTATACATTTTGAACCATTACCCTGCTTTCTTCCACTAAGAAAATGCATGACGAACAAAAATGTTTTGATACTGCTTCTACTTCATAATATCAACAGTTGTAAAAATATTTCCCATTTCTCCATCAGAGAAACGTCTCCACATCACTATAGTTTCACCATCATGTTTCACTACTATATAAACTTCTCATTGAGCTTCACCATCATGTTTACTACTTTATAAACTTCTCATTGAGCTTC